GTAGTAGACGCGCACGGCCACGAGCGCGATGCACGCGCCCAGGTCCTGGAAGGCCAGGTGCAGGCCGGCGGCGCGCAGCGGCCCCACGGCGCGCACCTCCGTGTTGAGCTTCAGCACGCGGTCGCCCAGGTCCAGCTCCGTGAAGCTCTCGTCGGCCGCGATCGTGTCGATTTTGATGTACTGGTTCTCGCCCACGCGCCGGCCGTCCTCGCCGTCCGACTCGAAGTAGTACATGTTGAAGGTCTCCTTGCAGGTGCCCAGGCCGCCGGGGAGGCTGTTGCAGTCCCGCAGCGTGAACTTCAGCTCCACGAAGATTCTGGAAGCGCCCTCGTTGGAGATCCAGCTGGTCAGGAGCCAGTTGTTCTGATTCTGCTCCATGACTTTGCACACTTGGTACGTGTGGATAGGGGCGTAGTTCTCATCCACTTCGCCGATCTCCTCCCACTGGAGATAGACAACGGAAAAACAGGTTTTTAAAAAGACAGGCAATAACCAGAGGGGAAAAAATAGTCAGGAAACAAATTCAGGTTTGGAACTAGGAAGCCTCTGTATATAGTATTGAGAGAAGGAGCTATATAGCAAGAATTCAAAAATTCAAAAAATATTTCCTTTCTTGAGATTAAGTAGAATAATTCATTGTCTCCAATGTAACTGAAAGTGAACACATAAGAATATTACCCAGAAAAATGAACATGTATTTCAGAGTAAAATAAAACAAAGCTGAATGTGTAAGCACTTAACACAAGAGACAGTGAGGGGAAAAGATGTATGTTTGGAAGAAACTATACAGACTGAGAGACAGAGAAAGTTCTACAGTTAAAAGGAAAAGTATCTTTTAAAAGACAACAATGAGAAAATAGCAGTAAACACGGAAAAGAAGAAAGGAAAATGTGACGTGTGAATCCACATTACTGAATTCTGGCATGTTACAAATAGCACACTAACGTCATAAAACTTCAAAGAAAATTCATTAGTTTAAAATTAATAATGTATTTTTATTTGTTTGAACCAACCTGTGTTGGACATTTTTACAAGTTGGATGACCAAATGTTTATTCACAGGTTTAGCCACAAATATAAACCTAGAGACGGATATAATGTAGAAATAAAAATTACAGATCAGGAACAGGAGAGCCTTGTCATTTCAAATATCCTGGGAATGCATTAATTCTTTCTTACCAATGCACTACTTTATGAATAATGACCTTAAGAGTTCTAAATATATACAGCATGTAGAAAAATTAAGTATAATTTATACAGCTTCAAAAACAGTATTTGGTTAAAGAAGAGATCTCAGCCAAGCTTGCTAGTAAAACACTCCTGTTTTGAGACTCTCAATGTACCACACACTGTCTGGACAATATAGACCACATTTTTTTCTTCACAAGAAATTTCTTAAACCTACGAAAAATCTGTGTATACAAAACTATATATAATTTTTAACTCTTTAAATTGGTCATGAAACACACAGAGCAATGAAATCATAATGACTTATAATAAATCTAGAATGTGATTTCAGATATTAATATAAATTTGATAGAACATTTCATTAGACATAAAATTAAATAAAGCATTATTTCTTGATCCCGTTCAATTGACAAAAACATGATAAATGTGGAGTCACAAGGGATGCCCATAAATCACCTACCTCTGATGGCCCCTCTCAAAATTCTAGCTGCCATCAGAGGGACATAAGTAAAAGGTGCTAATGAGGGAAAACTGCTGAGCTCCTTAAATTCACAAGAAAGAGACATGAAGATTTTCTCTCTCTTAACAACTTTCACATTCGGGTGTTAGAGAAGCCTTAGTTCTTTCATTTCATCTCATTTCTTCTCTCTCAGAATGTATTTAAACTACTACTTAGCTTCTGAATTTCTAACTCAGCCTTCTATTTCAGCACTTTGACATTAAACTACTTACATATTTTTTTTCCTGTCTCAATCAAGGTATCAATCTCTTTATTATAAAAGGTCACTGAATGACATGATTAATATTTCATGAAAAAAAATCTCAACTAACTGAATGAAAACAATAAAAATAACCAACTTATTGTAACAAGATTAATTAAAAATATATTCTTTGAATTAGAAAAATGGAAAATAGCATCAAAATGCTCTTCTCTGTAAAACAGAAAATAAAAATTCTGCATTATCTCTGTTTTAGATTTCATTTTATAATAATCTTCCGATACAAAACACAAACAGATTTCAAATCCTTGGCTTTAAATCATTTATAGAACTCCTATTTCTGCATCATCTATTCCAGCAGGACCCTGCTAGCAAGTAAAAGGGAATGGACAAGTAAAAGAATTGAAATAGCAGCATCTTCTAAGATTTAAGGCAAGCATTTCACAGTCTTTGCCCATACAAAGTCCAACATACCACAAATATTATTAAAAATGCAAGCCAAGCAGCACTTGACAAGACAGTTTAATAGTTGCTGCCTCAGGTGATAATTTCAAAGTCTCTGCATGAGCATCCTGCTTCTCTGAATATTCCCAATTAAGAAGAGAAAAACTGTAATTTTCTTTGATGTTAGAATTTATTATGGTGGGATTTTATTTAGTTATTTTTTTCAAATGTCCAAAATATAAATGAAGGCTCAAATTTTCTACTTCTAATGAATGAATAGAAAGACTTTAATTTAAATAATTATGGCCACAAGCCATTCAGAGAGTCAAATAGGTAATATATACACATTTCCCATAAATATCTTCTCCTATTTAGATAAATCCGCTAAGAAATGGATGCAAATATTTATTTTATATTGGCTGAAATAAAACTTTGAGTTCGCCAAGATTTCCTCCCTTTTAATACATAGAGGACATCCTGTTATCCTCAGCAAAAATCTTACCCTGAAGAAGAAACGAGAGGCCGGAGAGAAAGCAGCAGTCATCGAGAACTTAAGAACCTGGCAGGTACATTACTAGACACTTTTGCAAATGGCATATCAAGGAGCTAACTGTAACATAATGAAGGGCACGGAGAGAAAACATAATATTTTTGGTTCAGTTCTGTTGAGTTTCTTATCTATGGCTTAAGGAAAGTCTTTGCTGATCCTTTCATTACTCCCAGCGAGGGGCCTGGACATTCTGAAAGTGTGGTCATGGAATGCAGTATGGAGCCCGCAGCTCTGGTCTCCCCATCCAGCGACTCTCAGGGCCCGCCTTGAGCCCAGGCCCCGTGTCTGTCC